GAACGCATTGAAATTGTTACGCATGCTAATTCATTTATACTACCATTTTTATTTAATTCAATACTTGATGTATATATATGTTATAAAATCTGTCAACGACGTAAACCTACAACAATTAGATCTTCATTAGCATCATCATCAAATAATCAAAATACAATAAAAAGAAAACGTCAACGATTAAAAAAAAGTTTAGCACATGAAATAACATTAACATTATTATGTCAATCAATGTGGTTATTAGTTACATATTTTCCAACACATTTATATTATTTTTTAATATCATTTAAATTAATTAATGATCATGATCGAGATAATTCAACAGTCAATTTTTTTATGCGACAAAATTTACTTATTTATTTAGCTTTTTCACCAGCACTTTATGTTATATTGAGTCCAACATTACGAAAAGAAATTCATTTAAATATACGTCAATCATGTAAACGACATCGAATAATAAGTTTATCAAATACATCGAATTCACAAAATAAATTTCGAAACTTTCTTTTCGATCGTTATCCTTCTCATCGACATCATCACCAGCAACAACAACAAAGTACTCAACAAATAGATTTAGCCTTTTCAATGACGACATGTGAACACATGACTGAAAAATTTATTTCGAAATCATCAATATCGATACCATTAAAAACTCAATATATATCAAAAAGTGTACCATGTTTATATATATACAATAATAAATATGAACATGATGAACATTACAAGATAGAACGATCGAATACATTACATAAGTGATATGATGTTTCTTTTTTTTTTTATTTCATACTTATTTTACATGTTGTTGTGAATATCAATGTAAAATGTGTACTTTCTTTTTTTTTTGTTGTTTTGCGTAAATTACACTACGTCAAACGTAGAATATTTGTTCACTATTATAAATAAAAACATTTATAATAAGATTAAAGATGAAATTAAGCTTTCTTTCAGAAATTCAATTCCATTTATGTGACAGACACTTATTATTTCTTTCTAAATATAACATAACAATGCTTGAAGTACATTTTATTGTTTTGGTTTGATTTTCGTGTGCGTACATTATTAAATTCATTTTTTTCTTTCAAAATAATATTCTTTCTTTTTCATTTTAATATATAAATACGTAAATATCTTGAAATCTCTTCATATGATCTAAGCTATACTATTGAAGAAAGTCCTCAAGTTATTGTAATACTCACTCAAATTAATTATTTGAAATGAAGGAAATTATTGCGTTTTTAGAAAATTAATAAGAATGAATAAAATTTTTAAATATTAAAAAATAAGTGGCATTGTCTAGGACAAATACTTTGTCATTCATAAATAATGTAATTTACCTGTTGAAAACATGACAATTAGCGAATGAATATAGAACAGCATTATGCAAATGTAATAGAGCATATCTAAAAAAAAAACCAATTAATTTATTTTAAATTAATAAAATTCCTTCATCAAAGGATACGTCATAGTATGAATTATAGACGCGTATTTTGATGCATTAAAAGCAACAAAAAAAAAAGAAAGGAATGAACATCTATAGTACAAATCATAGTCTGGCTAATTAAAAAGCAATTTGAATATTTTTTGTGTAGAGTCTGGATGCAGAATATTTGTACTGTTAACGCACTTAATAGAATCAAAAAGAGTGCAATACTTAATTTTTCTTCTGTAGTATAGAAGAGTTGCCAAGCAAATCTGTAAAACATTCCGTTTGTTAATATAAAATTAAAGAATTTTCTATGTCAGATGTAAATATTATATTTCTTTTTTTGATTTGTGAAAGAAACTGTTTTCTACTAGATTTTGTAAATAAAAAAGAAAACTCGAATTTAATTTTTTTATAACTTATTCTTCAAATGCTCATATTTCAAAAAAAACTTAGACAGATTTGCACATCATTTGGCCACATTGAATATTAGTTTAATAGTATAAGTTAAAATCAGATTAGTTATACAAATGTATGAATATTTAACGAATAAATTAAAATTATTTACTAGGATATGTGCAGAACTACAACAATACAATATTGACACGAAGCTTGCATTTTTTTTTTCATTCGTTTCCCCTAATACAATTAGAGTTTCATCTGGTCGAACTCACCTAATGGGATTCCTAAGGTGTTTGACAATATCTGACTGTTGGCATCCGGTAGGATGTGATGATATTCGACAATAGGAGCATGTCGTATGAGATTAAATCTCACAGTATTAAAGTATTTAGTTTTTATTGCTGCTATTATTCGATAACATTTTAAATCTATTTGTAATACTTTTTAGAAATTCAGCAAAGTTATTTTTCATTGTGTTCAAATAGATTAACATGTGATTACAATATAATGTGGTAATAATGACATCGTTTTAGGCTAGTGGCAAGTCAGATAAATGTTATTTTATTCCAAAAGATGCTTATATTTTGTACAATGATAAAATTAGTTTTTCAAGTAAGTTGTTTTCATCTTTCTTATTTTTATTTGTGTGTGTTTTGTTATTGCGATTTATCGTTCCAATAAAATATTATTATTCATGCTCTAAACATGATTTAGATTTATTATTCAAGATTTGATTTAAATGATGAGTTCACATGTTACTATTTCTCATATTCTTTTTTTTTGATGTCTTATTCAGCAATCAAATATTATTGCAAGTTTATATTAAATAATTTATTTTTTTTCACTTTTTAACTTTATGATTTATTAGTATAGTATGAGAATGAATAGAAAATCAAATTATTTTATCTGATTTTTTTTTGTTTCGGCTTATTAACAAAAGCTGCGATACGACGGTAACTTAATTAAGATGTTACACTTATTTTTTTTTTCTTTATTTAGACTTATCTTTTGTTTTATTCAGATTCATTAGTTAATAATTAAATATGATAGTAAGTTGTTGAAAATACAAAATTAAAGCACACCTCTTATATATGAATGGGTCGATAGAGTGTGATAAGCTGGTTAAGTGTATATGTGTTTACATTTTTTCGAAATAAATTTTTAGGAGAGAAATTTTAGTTTTTCCTATGGCCTCCTTTTTTTTTGAAAAGAGGTCAATTATATATAATCGACTCATTATCAATTATGTTTTGTCACCTTCAAATTTCAAAACTGTTTGTTTCAGATTCAGTGTAGACAATAGGTGATTTTCATAGATTCAGCTTTCTAGACCAAGTCTGAAAAAAAATTTTTTCATATTTAAAGAAAATAAAAAGTAATTTGCAAGTAGTCGTTTATCGATAATTGACCTCGTTTTCAGAAAAAGTAGGTCATCAGAAAATATTAAATATTTTTCTTCTGATAACTCATGCAAAAAAAAACAAATTGAAAACACATACGGATTGTATCAGCTGTTCACATTTTGAGGAGCTTAGAAGCAAAATGTATTTTAAGCTATTTCTTTTTAGTCATTGATAATGTCATGAAGACGCGGAAATAATGATAAGACGGACAAGACTCAACAGATGTCTAGTGTCTAGTTATAAATTAAATATGTTTTTATTCAATCGTATGAGATCCTGGATACATCCGATGATTTGCAGCTCTCCAATTCGAGTATTGAAAAATATCAGATACAACATCCGAAAATTTCCTATCGGAATCCTATATTAATAACTCTAGCAACTTAGGATAGAATCCTATCGGAAGTTGTTGGATCATTCAGGACATCTCATCTTATATGACAGAGTTTGACATAGGAATACTCTAACTCCAGGATCAACTTGATTCAATCATAAAAGAACTCTGATTATTAGCCTTTTTGAAGATGTTATTGTATTTACATATATGCACACGCATGTTTTAAAAGTATTATCATTAATGACAGAAATACTGCATTGCAAAGTAAAACTAAACTTTGTTATAATTTTCGTAAATGTTTAGATATAAGAAGGAAACTTAATCCGTGAAAAGATCTCAAGAACTTCACAAAAGTTTGTTTTTTTATACATTTAATACAACAATGAATATATTAATTAATTGAACAGATTTAGAGAAATAAATTAGTACTAAGTTAACATTATTATGCAAAAGATTCAATAAGATTTACGATAACGACATCAGAAATTTTTTCATAACTAAAGTTATTGATTTGTTGATCAATAATTTTACAAAAAAATCCGATTTGTGGCGTCCTCTATTGCAGATATATAACTAAATTGCTGATATAGTTCTGTATAAAACCCAATCATTCAATATTATTGTCATCAATTGATAATTGACCTTACCCGTTTGCTTATTGAAAATTGATAATTTTCAATATTAATAATTCTATTTTAATGATTATGATAATATTTTCTTTTCTTTTCTTGTAATAATCTCACGAATTTAAATCATGGATTCACAACCAATTATTCGTGATCTTGTTTCAGCCAATATTGTATCACATTCAACATCATCGAATGGAACATGTGTTCAATTAGTTGAAAGTGATAAAAATCCGTATGGTCATACAATAGTGAATACACAAAATGATACTGTATCTGATCCACAAGATCTTGTAAATTTAGCTCGACAAATTGAAACATGTGATGCATTTGTTCGAGCAAATGTTTCTAATCGTTTACAAGTTATTGTTAATCAAATGAATTATTTACGTCAAGAAGCACAACGTACACTAATAAAAGCACGACGTGATGATGAATTAAATCATTGTGCTTGTAATCTTGTTCGACGACCTGGACAAACATATTATCAATATGAAAGACAAAGTGGACAAAAATATTTATCAATCATGCATCCACAAGATTGGTTATCAAACACAAAAAGTGGTGGATGTCCACATCGATTTTTAGGTGCATACAGACTTGAATATGATAATTCATGGACACGACAGCCAACAGAGTTTGATGATGGACTAGATGATCCATTAGATGAATTAAAAGAACAAAAAGCATATGATGCAAAACAAAACCAAAAAATGATCGAATTTCTTATTAAATCATAAATTGTTCTTTTTCTTTTGTTTTATAAATAAAGAAAAATTAAATACAGAAAAATTTTGTTTTCAGAAAAAAAAATGACTACAAAGAATATATCTACTGCTAATAATAATGATGATGATGGTCTTGAATCAGTTCTTGGAGATGATGATGAATTTCAAGAAGCTGCTTTGTTTGTTCAAAATAATCTTTCACTATTTTCTCGTGATGATTTACTTTATTTATATGCTCGATTTAAACAGGTAAATTTTTAATTATATTTTCAATTGATATTAAATCAATTTTTCTTACCGATAAAGGTTACTGTTGGTGATATTAACATTCCTCGACCAGGTTATTTTAGTTTTGAAGCAAAAACAAAATGGTAATTTGTATTGAAAAAGAGTTACTCTTCTATTTTATTGCAATATAGGGATGCCTGGAATTCTCTAAAATCGATATCAAAATTTCAAGCATCCAAAGAATATATCCAACGTGTGACAGATATAAAGCAAAAAAACAATATAGAAAATCAAGTAAAATAAGTTTAAGAATTTTAATACCTTCCTCATAGATTTCTCTGAAATAGAAATCAACAAAAACTGGACCAAGTGTTAGTCGATTATTAGTACAAAATGATGAACAAATGCCAGATGATGATGAAAAAACAATCTATGATTTCTGTCAAGACGGTAATGAAGAACGTGTTGAACAAATGTTGAAAAGAAATTTTGATGTTAATAAACCAGATGACATGGTAAATAACAGTTTGAATAGGAGTTTTGTAGATCAATCCGTCTTTGAAAAAAATGTACTATAAGTTAAATAAGATGTATCAGAATATCTGATTTAACAAACATGACATTTTAGTCAACGTGTAAAGACATATCTCAAATAGTAGAAAGAGAGTAATGACAACGTTAATTTATGCTCAGGTCAAGGGTGCTAGTGCTAGAATCCGTAAATTTGAGGTAGGTTCTCGTTAGAAAGACGTCGTTTTAGGTTAGAAAAAGGTAGTTCATCGGAAGCAAGAATTCGATGATCAAATCCTATGACGGAATTTTTCTAGTTCTGGTGGTAAGCAACTGTAAGTGGGTAGAGTCAATGATCAAATCAGATCATCGAATTTCTACTTCCGAGTTCTTACTATTTTCTTGAGTTTTTTGACCGAAGACGGCTCATATCTCTTGATATGAGTGTTTACAAAGGTTATTTCTGTTCGATAACATCTAAGTTTTAAAAGACAAAAAGTGAACATTTTTCAGATTAGTTGATTAGATTAGTTCATATTTCAGAGTTTCTAAAGAATCTAGTTTGAAACATTGCTCTTATGTATTTAGCAATTAACTTTATTACATTGGGCAGCAGATAGAGGCAACGAATCAATGATACGTCTTTTAGTGAAATATGGAGCTAAACTCAATGTTCGTGATGAAGATGGACAAACACCATTATTTTATGGTATAAAATAAAGTTATTAATAAATGATTAATTATTTTCTTTTCTTCTGTTATATTATAGCTGCTAATTCAAGTAATATTCCTTGTATGAAGCTTTTACTTGAACTTGGTGCTGACCCATCAATTCCAAATAATGATGGTGAATTACCATCTTCTGTATCACAAACAGATGAAGAACGAACTGTCTGGACAGCATATTCATAAAGACTATATAGACTTCTCTTTTTTTTTGTATTGTTCCTTTTTTACTACGTATACTGTAGAATCTTTCGCGAGAGATTAGGCAATACAAAGTTAATTCATACCTACGTACTCTATATAAAAATAAAAAATTGATAGAATCGGTACATCTCTGTGAGTAATATATATCGAATTATTTCTATTCCAAATAAGTTAGACTAATTATTAACTTTGATATGCCTGATTCGAAATTTTCAGAAAAAGTAATAAATATTTTTTACGATTACCTCTATACAAGATAAGGTTTTTGATGTTATTGACTTTGTTTGACAGCACTCTGACTGGAATCATATATGTTTGCTTATTACATTTGTCTTCAACAAATTGTACTTAATGTTCGATTATCGGTTTAATTGTTCTATCAATATATAGTAGATGCATATGCGCGAGTACGAGTATGATTGTATAAAAGACTTATTAATCCATCTACTGTCACACTCATACCCCTCAATGTTTGAATTTCTTCTCAAAGGATACACAAATAGTAATGTTAATGGTGTGGAACTTGTTATCAAGTTTAGATAATGTATGACAATAAAACAGATTTCTAAATAATCATTCTTTCTTCATGTCATATTCTTATGTGCTATTGCTCATATTTCTTCCAATAAAGTAAATGTCACATGACCATTCAATTAATAAAATATCTTATTGATATGTGTTCAGAAAGTTTCTCACGGGACAATTTTTTACCAATTACAAATGTTCCCTGTCAATGATAACTTTTTCTTGTCGATATTTCAAACAATACGAAAAAAATGAGACACTTTCGTTTGTCAAACAAAGAGGTGATCATTTGAATTTATAATTACAGATACAATTTCAAAAACAACATAATGAATAATCAACGCGATCATTATTTTGTTCACGATGAATGAAATGTTCGAAAAATATTTAATAGTTTCCTCAAACAATTACTTATGACACTGTCATCCTATAGAGATCAAAACAGTCAATTAAATCCATATTTTAACCACATACAATCATTTTTATACACAATAAAACTATGGACTTCTTCCATATAAACAAAAGAAATAAAATTTGCTTGTCTAAATAATTATTGGATAGCTTTTAACAAGATGTTTATTGTTACGAATCGGAAATAAAAATGTCACTTCGATGACTTGAGACTTGTGGATCATCTCAACAAATGTATAATTTAGATCAACTCATAAAGACATAGGTCCATATGTTTGAACAATTTAGACATGAGATATTATTTACTATGTCTCGAGAGAAAGACAGAAAGAAATTGACAAGTATCGAAAAGAAAAATAGCCCAAACAGCATCAATTAAGATATCAAAACAAGCACTTTTTTTTTCAATGTTTGTTTCTTTTTTTCGCTCTATTAACCTTTTCTCGGTCAACAATACAATGATGATGTTCTATTTGTTTTCTTCTATATGGTCGAATTTCGAACGGGGCACATACACAACTAGTTTGCCTTGACCGATAAGCAAACCTACGTCTTCCTGTTCTTCTTCGTATTTTCGTTGATCACAGTGCACCATTCAATTAGAACAATGACCATCACTTTTTTTCTTCATTCTCTTTCGTCGACCCTGACATGTCCGTATATGGTAATCGTCGGTCAAAACATACAATGAGATGGAATGGTTGAAATGCACGAGAGACAGAGAGAGAGAGAGAGAGTTGTGAGAAAGAATAAAAAACAAAAAAAAGAAGAAAAGTGAAGAGCTAGAAGAACGCGCGCGTCATTCGTCGACCAAAAGAAAGAAGAGTAGGCAGCAGCATATACATATATATATATATACATATACTTTCATCTTAAATTTCACTCAATAAATCTCAATCATGTGTGACGATGATGTAGCAGCACTTGTTATTGATAATGGTAGTGGTATGTGTAAAGCTGGATTTGCTGGTGATGATGCTCCACGTGCTGTGTTTCCATCCATTGTTGGTCGACCACGTCATCAAGGTGTTATGGTTGGTATGGGACAAAAAGATTCTTATGTTGGTGATGAAGCACAATCAAAACGTGGTATTCTTACATTAAAATATCCTATTGAACATGGTATTGTTACTAATTGGGATGATATGGAAAAAATTTGGCATCATACATTTTATAATGAACTTCGTGTTGCACCTGAAGAACATCCTGTACTTCTTACTGAAGCACCACTTAATCCAAAAGCAAATCGTGAAAAAATGACACAAATTATGTTTGAAACATTTAATACACCAGGTAAACAAAATTAAATTTTAATTATTAAATTTCTTTTGGGTGTGTGTGTTATTTTTTTGTAAATTTAGCAATGTATGTTGCTATTCAAGCTGTACTTTCTTTATATGCATCTGGTCGTACAACTGGTATTGTACTTGATTCAGGTGATGGTGTTACACATACAGTACCAATCTATGAAGGATATGCATTACCACATGCAATACTTCGTCTTGATTTAGCTGGTCGTGATTTAACTGATTATTTAATGAAGATATTAACTGAACGTGGTTATTCATTTGTAACAACAGCTGAACGTGAAATAGTTCGAGATATAAAAGAAAAATTATGTTATGTTGCACTTGATTTTGAACAAGAAATGGCTACAGCTGCATCATCATCATCATTAGAAAAGAGTTATGAATTACCCGATGGACAAGTCATTACTATTGGTAATGAACGATTTCGATGCCCAGAGGCTCTTTTTCAACCAAGCTTTCTTGGCATGGAAACAGCTGGTCAGTTTGAAATTTCTTTTATGACTTTTTTTGTAGTATTATTTCCCTATTAAATATAGGTATCCATGAAACGACATACAATTCAATCATGAAATGCGATATTGATATCCGTAAAGATTTATATGCTAATACTGTTCTTTCTGGCGGTAAGATAGTATTATGTTATCAATTCACTTATTAATTATTGATATTTTATTATATAGGTAGCACAATGTATCCAGGTATTGCTGATCGTATGCAAAAAGAAATAACATCATTGGCACCATCAACAATGAAAATAAAAATCATAGCACCACCTGAACGAAAATATTCTGTATGGATTGGTGGTTCAATTTTAGCATCATTATCAACATTTCAACAAATGTGGATTTCGAAACAAGAATATGATGAATCAGGTCCATCAATTGTTCATCGAAAATGTTTCTAAAAGAAATAATTTTTTTGCAATCAATGTTGACCGAACTTATTCTTACAGCTGTTCTTTGTTCTATCTCTTTACATATTCTTGTCATTATGTGTGTGTGTGTCTAACTATCTTAAAAATCTTATTCTTGCTGGTTGTGCATGTGAGTGTATTCTCTGTATGTTCTGCATTGTTCGTTATCATTCATTTTCTCTTTAAAAAATATAATATATATATATATATATATTACAATTTTATCTTGTTCATCAAATATATCGTGTGTGCTATGACGAAAGTATTGAAAAGGGAAAAAAACAAAGATACAGGGAAAAAATGTGCAGAAGTATAATCTGGAGTTGGTTCATGAAACAAAAGGAAAGAAGAACCAGTCAAACATCAACTTTGATATGTTGTGATAGCTGCTTGCATTAATTCGATCTATAAATAGAAAACCAAACATCATACGTATTTGATAAACTAAAAACTAAAAACAAATAAAAGAAAAAACAATGTTCCTTTCTCAAAAAAATCAACTGATATTTTTTGATATGTATGTTTTTTTTTGAATTTATATATATATATATATACACGTATATATCTGTTTACAATAATAATTTTTCCCTCTGAACTTATTTTCATAGTTGAGTTTCTGAATAAGAGGTTAAATCAAATCCGGTCATCTTCATTACCGGAATTGGAAATACAATGGTCGAATTTTTTTCTGATGCAATCGTTGTTAGTGTTTGTAAGTATCGAAGTTGAAGAGCTGTTGGTGATTGCATAATAACATCAGCTGCATCTTTCAATGCTCTAAAATTATAGACAAAGAAAAATATATTTATAAAAATCAAACGAAGATATTACCTTGATGCTTTTTGTTCACCTTCAGCTGCAATTACTTTAGCACGAGCTTCTCTTGCTGCTTCAGCTTCAGCTGCCATTGCTCTACAAAACAGAAATAAAAAGCGCATGAAATCAAAAGTTCGATATATAGTTTTTAATTTTACCTTTGAAGTTGAACAGGTAATCGAACATCTTTACTAAAATTTGAAAACAAATAATTAATATTATATTATTTATTTTTTTGTAATTAAAAAAAAAAGAATAACTTACACTTCAACTCGTTCGACTCGAACTCCCCAACCTTCAGTACCTTCATCTAGAGCAGCCTGAAAACATAAAAAAATCAACAATTTTTCTTTCTTATATAATCAGATTATCATATATACCTGCATTGTTTGTGCTATTGATTCTCGATCAGAAAGAATCTCTTGTAAAGATTTTGTACCCAGACTATAAATGACATAAATCTATCAAATATTTATTTAGAACAAGTTTGAAATAACTTACACATTACGTAAACTAGTAGCAGCAAGTAATTGTGTACTTTTTGGAGCATCCTCAACATTTGTAATAGAAATAACAGGATCAAATACTCGAAAATATACAACAGCGTCAACAGCTACTGTTACTGAATCTTTCGTTAGAATCTACACACAAATATATATACATATATATGTATGTGAGTATATGTCTATAAACTAATAATTGATATTAATAATGCAGACCTCTTGTGGTGGTACATCAAATGTGACTGTTCTCAAATCAACTTTTGTATAAGCATCGACACATGGTACTACAATAAATAGACCTGGACCCTATAATAATAGTAATAGAAATAATAATTAAGAAAATCTGTTAGATGAGAAATACTTTGGCACCGCCCAAAATACGACCAAGTCGAAACATAACGGCTCGCTCATATTCTTGAACGACCTAATCAAAAAAAAAATAAAGAATATAGTATATTTATCACTTAATCAAACAAAAACAAGCTTACTTTAAGACAGACGGTA